AATAATATTCTCCGAATTCATATAAATAGTGGATGTAAATACGCTGTCTACTACGGGTAAGCATACAAATTTTCCAAAGTAGAAAACCAACGTCGGGTTTTGATGTCGTTTGAAACCCGATCGAGAAATTATATGAAAACCCCAGCTTAAAGCGGACATTAGATTGTGTAATAAAAACCACATTTTAAAAGATTTTCAAGTACAAATACATACATATACATATATGAGTATTCATAGCAGTAATCATTGTCATTTCAGAAACAAGTCGGTAAGATAAAACCAAACGTTTACTAAAGGATCCGTTACTTTTATTGTAGCGTGTTTGACCGAAAAAATATTGATTCATGACATGAATAAAAGCAGAGCTTTGTCAACAATTACTGTGAGTATTTAACAGTTAGTTTCGTTTGTGACGTTGGTTGTGGCAATCTTGTCTCACTCATTATTGTAGTAAAATGACTACTATATGTATGTATATGTTATATGCATGAGTTCGAATAAGTAATTGGATAAGTAATATGAAAGATCTAAACAATTGTTGCATAAGAAAGTCCTGAATGAATTATAGTTTGATGCTAGTATTTGTTAAGCAATTGTTTACAGAAAAATCAGCTTAGCAAATACCCCTAAATACATACATACTTATGTGTTACCTGATTTTCTCTGATGCATAACATATTATTTCAATTACATTGTTTTGCATGTATTTATATTTCTTCTCAGCAGAGTAAATATCCATAATAACGATTATTATCTATTTTTTGAAGACCCATACATTTTGGGGTTTCCCAGTAATCTAGAAATAATCCTTGCTGTGCTTGGAGAAAACACTATGATGCAATTCATATTTTGCTTCGAATATTTGTAAAAATAATATATATATACATATAATAATATATATATACGTATATACATACATATATATTTAGTTCTTTCCATTATTGGACAGCCAGAAAATATATATTTACAATCTTCAGGTCAAACGCATGAAGTCAGATGATAAATTCAGTAGTCATACACTTTATAATGAATATGCTCATTACAACTGAATTTTATATATTAATTTGCATACCTATACCTATACACTCCAGTAGGAGGATTAACCGAAGCGAATCTTAAATTTACGTGGAAAATATTTTTTAAATACTTTAGGCATCAGGCCACACACATTCGAAGTTATGTTCTGAGGTACAATTTAGTTGAACAAGTGTAGACTGCAGTCATATATATAAACATATATATATATTAAAATTCAAATGCCGTTATGTGCACAAGTATACAAGGCTACACAAATGTACTTATGTATGTATGGACGGCGAGCGCTTTAATTTGCAACAATTTCGTCTGGCGCCAGCAAAGCGACGCGCGGCCGTGAGCATCATTTAATAATTGCATTTGCCGTTTGGTTACACTTATACGTACTTACACGTAAAACCAACACATATTTAACCTAAAGTAGGCGTACTAACGGAATATTCATTCGCTGTGGCAATTTTTTACAGATTCCCTCTGTTTCTAATATCAGGGATAATTTGCAAAAAGGCAAGCAGCGTAATACTCTCTTCATTCATTGAAAGTCGTCAATTACGGATAACTTTTTAAATACTCTACACCCTCTATTAACAGTTATTTTGTGTTATTTGTGCCTTTTAATCACAAAGGACTTTCAAAGATGCAATGAAGTGTAGAAAAACCAAGTAGATACAAGCGCATATGCCTCAATCTTCAGGTGTGTTTGTGTGCGAGAGGGTATGTACTCACATCATGCACCGCGTACTGCAGCAACACGCCCAACACCTCGATGCTTTTGTTGCGTTGCTCTTCCTGCAGTTCTGTCTGCTCCAGGTGCCGCTCGATCGCTTCATAGTCCAGTCGACCGTTGCACGAGTGCCGATTCAAGTATTTCAAACGCTGCAACTCCGACGCATCCAATCGCTCCGCAGCTCCGGCACCCGACACAGCTGTATCCTCAGCGGAGCGTTGTTGTTGGTGTGACTTTTGTAGCAACGCTTTGCCGCGCGTCGGCAGGAATTTCGACTGTGTTTTCTGTGAAAGAAATTTCATTTACAGCGTATGGTAAAGTGTTGTAGGTCATTGCTAGCGAGGTTGTAGGACTTACTTTTTCCAGCAACATTCCGCTGACTGTGACAGCAGTGGCAGCTGACGCCGGCGTTGTTGTTGTCTTCTTGCCATGATGCCCCAGTATAGGTGATGTGGTTTGTGAATTTGTGCGTGTTGTTGTTGTACCATTTGATATTGTTGTTGTAATGCTATTATTGTTATTATGGTTGATCTCATGCAATTCCGTTGGTGCATCTGTGTGCTTGACATTTTTAGAAGCCGCAGTGCCAATACCACGATTTTGATCTGCAAAAAGCATAAAAGAGAACCAAAAGTTTTATTGACGGTCGGAACGGAAGTGAGTTAAACTTGTTTGTTTGAAAATATAAAGGTGCGCAAAAATAATTATGTATGTACATATATCTGTAGTTAAGCAAAAATATTGAATGAAATGTCACTGCCGGAAGTTAGTGGGGGAAGTGTTATCAAAAAATGCAAATCTAATTAAATTATTTTTAGCCAAGCTGAAGGCACTTGAGGCAATGCAAAGCGTCTGCAGCGTTAGCTTGTGCCGTTTGAATATTTGGTTTATGCCGGTGTCTCTATTTGGCGCTCACAACGTTGGACACGGCGGTCCAAACAAACCCGAAGGAAAAAACATTTTTACAATTTCCATAAAATTATGGATAGCCACAGATATGGCACTACAACATTACATCATTAAAACATAGAGAAAATGCGAAGTAATACAACACAAGCGAGAGGGCAATGAATTGCGAAAAATGTGTGGTTGTGAAATACACTGCCTTTACAAGGAACAAGTTGTTGTTCAAGGCATAGCTCTTTTTTGAGTGTACTTGATATCGTCGTTAACTGCCATAAAGTTTTATAACATTAATAGTAAAAAGCATTTAATAACTATTAGACTCTGTCTGAATTATATTCGACTTAATATTTTGACCTAACCTCAACTCGTAACTTCGAAATGCAACAGCAAAGCAGCACTAATCTGAGCTCAAAAAAATATATTTTGAAGTTTTAAGTTTTAAAAACGACAACTTGACTGTTATGGTGCGTGACTAGGAACGTAACTATATCTCCAAACAGATAATGGCATAATAACCCGTAATTCTTGTAGTCTGGCTTACGATGGGAAAAGCCATTATGTTGAACTGCGTCACAGCTATAAATATTCCCGAACTACATTCATGCACCAAAATCATCGGTGCTCAGCGTCACGTAGACCCAGACACACAGGTAAGCGCATTTGGCCTTTGTGTTAAGTTGAACCAACTTTCCATGCGGTACTGCGAAAATGATTAAACGGATAACAATGCACTGGCACACCCCTACTAATAATTATTATTCTGCGGAGAAGCAGACATATGTACAACGTCCGTAACCGTTTAATAACAACACCTGAAAATGTGCACTAAACGATAGCTTAATTTACAGCTTCTATGTGATTTCACTCAATTTAAACTGCAGCAAGGTCAACATAACCTCATCATAAACAAACATTCAAAACTATAAAACCCGGCTAACTGAACAAGTACAACGGAGTAATGTCAACAACTTATCCACCGATTAATAACTGCGATAAAGTTAATAGATTAATATGCACGATTGTGACAGCGCAAAATAGCGATGAATTAAGCTGGCGATCGCCGACCAAACGGAGTTGTGCAGCGAGAGATTTCGTGCGAGCGACGCATGCGCGGCGTGCGGCACGTGATATCAACGCATGATATGGTTTGCGGTGCTAACGTACGAGCTGTGCAAAATGCCGCACACATTCATGCCTCATTAAGCATGCACATGTATATGTTTGTATGTATGTAGAGCTACGTGCACAAATGCCGTTGCATTGCTTATCTCGTAAATAAATGCTTTCAACGTATGTTTGCTGCAAAACGTGTTGCCAGATTTGTACATTACCCATTTACTCATATCTATATACACACATATATGTAAATGCATATGTTTGTATGTATGTATATGTGCGTAGTTTTTGAGTCGCATTGACTTTGCAATGAAATTCCGAAGCTCGTTTTGGCATTTGACGCACGCGAATTCAGCTGTAATTGCACTCGCAAATGGCATGTTGCAAGGTTGTAATATATCTATATATGTTGGCATGTACATATATACGCACAACCACGCATTGCCCCACACATTAGCATACATCATTTATGGAGCATTTGGTTAAAATAATTTTACTGCTAATTAAGTGCTGGCCACAGGTCATTGAAGTGGCATAAAAACGCAAACGCACCGCCACTTTAAAGCGAACATATCAAGATCACACGTTTCGAAAGACAAAATGAAAAAATCTACCAAAATTGCAGTTTAATGAAAATGATGCATTCCGAGTGTGCACCTCTCCACTGCCTTTTAGATATAGCAACAAATTTATTGGACTGTAGCCTGTGCAAATGCAGACGCCCAGAAAACAGAAGATAACCTCTGAAGCCTGAATTTTTGCCATTTATTAGGACCAAGCTACACTACCTACTTGATTAGCCCAGAGCTCAACATGCCTAGTCTTTTTTTCAAGATATACGAGTATATATACTCGTACATATGAATATAGTATGTTTCTTTTAAGTTGTATTCTTAGATTCCTTTTGCCAATTTGCAACTAGTAGAAAACGCTCTCTATTGACGCACCGCCTAAAGCTTTCTTCAAAACTCTTAAGCTTTTATCATACATTTATTAAATGGTTGAGTTTTTTGGCATTTGGCATATTTGAAGCATACAGAACTCAAAATCGCTTGAGTCTCGCAAGCTGGAAGAAATCTATAATTGCTTCTTGATTACATAATGGTAAAAATACCAAAAAACTGTGCAATAAATTCAATTATTTTCCAAAATTATGCCAGATTTATATTTGAGTAAAAACAAACGCCTTTGATGGCACTAGAAATGTGTCAATCCTACGAGCA